CGTCCGAATTTTCAACTCGCGGCGGAGTGATGTAGCAGTTACCGATCTCTCTACTGTTTCTACTTGTTTTTTTTTCTTTCTTTCTTTCTTTCTTTCTCTCCTTTTTCATCTCCGTTCGAAAATCGTGTCTCGTTTAAACACGTTTAAACACGCGTCGTTAATGGAACGAGCGACCATTCTACGGTGTGAAATTTATCGATCGTAAATTCTATCGACTCCTTTAGAAATCTGATAAAAGGTTAGTTTGGCTCGGTGATTTCCCGGATACGCGATCAAAAGGGAATATTTCAGCGTTTACGTCGGATCAGTGTCACGATTCTTCTTACTTAGCGCATGGATTGAGATGACCGCGCTTCGGAGTGGTGACGCGCAGATATGTTTAAGGCGATTTGGTGAGTTATTGCGACTAGACTATTTAACATTATTATACCGACCAAACACTATTCCTATCCTCCCCTCCCTTATTTTCTCACTTGAATCATCGCCACGATTAAATTTTCGATCGATGCAATTTAATTGTTTACCGCGAGGAAGAAAATTTGAATCGAGGAATCGCCTCGAATCTCGTGACGTACACGTCATTGAAGTGTTCGTAATGGCGGAATCGCCCTGAAGACCCACCTTTGCGTTCGGCCTCGACGATTCTTCTCCTCGACACTAGAAATACTGGAAATACTGGATTTTTCACGGAGAGCGTGCCGCTGTTTATCGCGACTGGTGCCACATAGTCTACGCTGTTAGAAATTTTCCTCGCACCCCCTTCCCCCCTTCCCGCCTCGCTACCAATCAGATGCTCGACGCTTCTAACATTTTCTCCGTTACGTAATTCACCGCTGAGAAATTTCAATATTAATGTATCCCACACCTTACGATGTCACGGATTATCGGATTGCTTGTGGAAACGCGAAGTATATATATATATATATATATATGTTCTTTTATACGCTTCGTCTCGATCCATGCTCGTTAAAAATATAAGATGGGTTAACCTGCGCTGTCAGCGAAAACGTCGATA